AGTTCGAAATTCATCGATTTTTTGGTCAGTCAAGTTCGAAAGTTCGACAAGCATCGAACCTTGCAGCGCAATAAATTCGAAAGTTCGAAAAAGATCGAATTTTTAGCGTAATAAGTTCGACGGTTCGAAAAGCGTCGAACTTCTTAGCTTAACAAGTTCGAAAATTTGACCTCCGTCGAATTTTACGATATAGACAATTCGAAAAATCGAAATCTTTCGAACCTTTCGAACCGCTTGATTCGATCATCGAAACTTCGATTCGAAAAAAGTTCGCGGCATCCCTATACTAGACAAAAATCTCACCTCGTGCTCTTCAATTCAGCGGTAACTAGCGCCACCTCATTTCGGAACGTTTATCATTAGTTGTTTGACAGTGCAATAAATGATCCTTTAAAATGTGAGAACCGTTGTCTATTAGTCTAAACCAAATAAAACAATTTTCAGCTTGTCGCAAACAATTTTAGTTGTTTAAAGAATCGTAACTTTAGATTTACGGACAAGTCAATCGCATTTCAGATTACGGATGCTCCTCCATAGCTTTTAATGAGAAGCTCAACGTTTTTTTACGGAACGTTTTTTTACGGAACGTTTTTACCGTGCACACCAGATAGAAAGATATGAACTTTGTTGCCTAAACCTCTCGGACCGAGTCAAGAGCATTTCGAGAGGTTCCGACAATGAGTGCATCGCTCTAAAAAGTGCTTCTGCTGTATATGCAGTTAAACCAAGCAATCGTAAATCAATCGCCGTACTTCAGTTCTACTCACCTGCCATGCAGAGTAGTTTCGCGTCGTAGAATCCTCCTTTCGTTGGAGCGTCTCCGGCCCAGTAGTACACCTTGTCGTCTTCAACTACACCGCTCTAAAGTGCCTTACATCGTCGGAACTCAAACAGGCTGGGTCTTGTCGAGTAGAAGTTCTACTAAAACGTAAGACATTGTAGAGCCCGGGCAGGATCGACAGGTTAGAGCAAGCGGGCAAACAAAACGAGTCGAGAGCGATCGTTCACGGAAGCTCGGCGAAGAACTTCGGCCCGGTTCGGCCGTTCGGCGTTTCGGCGGGCTTCTGATCAAGGTTGTCGGTCGGTTGCGTGTCATATATCTAACATCAGCGGTTTTATGGGCTCACGTCCCGAAATCGTTTTCTCGTGCATAGATTATTTTTCGTGTTCATAGATTTGACGAAATAGTGGTATCCGAACGAACTTTACGTCCTTTGACCGTACGTCTGTCTGCACGTCAAAGCTTTTTGACGTAGTCAGAGACAGTCGATGTACAATCAGAATCGCCACCAAGAAATCTTTACGGCATTTCGCGGCGGCCGACTGCCACCAGGAAACCATCAGAAAGCCGACAAGCGGGGTCTGACTGGAGTTTGACTGTCGGTCAGAGTAACTTGTTGGACAGTCAGACATGCTTGACGTACAGTCAGGCACAGTCAGCGGTCCACTAGAAAACATTGACTGCCAAAGAGGGTTACATTGATGGATTTTTCCTTCGGGGTTCGTTCGGATACCACTATTTCGTCAAATCTATGATTACAAAAAAAAAAAAATCTATGCACAAGAAAACGATTTCGGGACATGAGCCCATAAAACCGCAGATGTTAGAGATATGGCACGCAGCCGACCGACAATCTGATCAGAAGCCCGCCGAACACGCCACTTCGCTGACTTCGCTTCGCCCATAGAGGCTTCGCCGAGCTTTCATGAACGATCGCTCTCGACTCGTTTTGTTTGCCCGCTTGCTCCGACCTGTCGATTCTGCCCGGGCTCTACAATGTCTTATGTTTTAGTAGAATTTCTACTCGACAAGACCCAGCCTGTCCTGAGTTCCGACGATGTAAGGGACTTTAGCGGTGTAGTTGAAGACGACAAGGTGTACCAGGTCTATTGGGCCGGAGACGCGCGAACAGAGGGATCGTTCTACGACGCGAAAGTACTCTACATGGCAGGTGAGTAGAACTGAAGTACGGCGAGTGCACTCGTACATCATGATGTACGAGTGCTTTGCATAACATGCTGAAGGCTTAACTGCATTTGCAGCCGAAACATCTCGTATAGCAAGAATGGTCAAATCGAGTTTCCAAAGCGGTGGCATAGCATAGGGGTTAAGGTGCACGATTTGTATGCAAGTGGTCGCGGGTTCGATGCGCGGTTTACCAGCTTTTTTTCTTCTCGAACATTTTGTTTTATCGAGGCATTTGGCGATATTTATGAGTGCGTATAGCTTTACTCTTATATAAATGCTGTTCTAATTGATGAAATTCCCTTGGCAGTGGCAGTCAGACGTCATCTGATGGACCATCAGATGACGTCTGGTGGTTCATCACGTTCCACCAAGGCTGCTGACTGGCAGTCAGTGTCCCAAATTACGTACCTTGATGGAATTTTCAATAGGGAAGGCATGCTCTCGTAATCGCACATTAAAACAGCGACCTACTTGTCCGACCTATATGTCCCACAGGAGCACGAAATGTCGCAGACCACAATCACGTCGCAATTCACGTATTAATGTTTATGATGGACAGTTCATAGACTAAGAGATTGATGAGGTCTATTCATATTTGGACAAAGCCTCTTAAGTTTATCCGGGGCTGAGAGTACCACTTGTATTCCAAATCTTAACGCTAACCGCTTCAAGGTATGTGATATTTTGTGGATGTAAGGAACCACTGCTGGCCGTGTTCATTCCTCAGCACTTCTTGTTCTTCTTTCATTGGGAGTTGCCAAGCTCTCTGTAACCTCAAACAACAAGGAATTCGGATACCCTGACTCTTGTAGTCTTAGAACTTGTGAATCAAAGCTCGTCTTGGCTGCAGGTTTGCAGGACTTTTGCAAGGCGGCTTTTAGACAGCTCTGCACAATTCCTCGTTTTATGATTTTTGAATGGGTTGAGTCAAACTGAAGAAGTCGATTCTTAGACCGTGGTGAGTAAGTCCAACACGTATAGTTCTCTCCAAAAAGAATTTAGAGGTCCACGAATTGAACGTGACTTTAGATACGTGGATGGTTACCTCGAACTCCTGCATAAAAAACCTGCTCAACTTCAGTCAGTGACAGTCAACACCATTAAGTCTAATTTTTGTAAACCGGCCAAGGGTTTGAAATTTACATATGAACTACCAACCGACAGTAAGCTTCAATCCCTGGACCTCAAACTTCTTCTCTACAATTATAGCAATCGTTTGCTGCCGCGTCAGACACCACTGGGCTTTGCGTTGCAGGCTGAACTATAAAATATATATTTGACCACACCTTTTTTAGCATATTGTTTCTACAATTTGAGATTGTAACACGGGTACAGCTCTTTTTTTTTTGTCGTAGTATATGAACCTTCTTTAAAAAAAAATTTAAAGTGTATGTGCTTCAATAGTTCATATATATATTCTTTAGATTTTATCACCGCTAATATTTCATTTGTCGTTCATGGGCAGATATGTTTTTCGCTTTAACTCCGCTGTTCGTTGCACGATGACTAAATCACAGGTTCGCTGACTCTATGGTGTAATTGTAATTTTTGTTCACATATTCCGCATCAATTGGGCTGAAGTTTGAGGAGACTAGAGGCTCCTCAGCTCGTTATGTATTATCGTCTCTTTGCTGGAAATTTTTTAGACGACACTACATTCCTTTTACTGTACAAGTATCAAAAGGGAAGAAGCAATAACAAAGAATACTATATATCTCATTCTACGATCTTGTTTTTCGGCATACGGGTCCGGGCACCAGAAATTAACAGATAAGTGATTAGCCACACAAGCGTCCAAACATCTGACGTACTTTTTGTACGTTGAAGTTGCCTTGTACAAATGAAGGGAAACCAGAAAAATGCAGGAGCTAATGGCAAAGAGTAACTTCAGTCTGGATGGTCAACCACTCGCCCACTCTTAGATAGAGTAAACAGATTTATACAGATAAATATGATAAAACATACATCAATTCGCGGCCTCGATAACAACAGAACCTCCCCTGCGGGGGCGCTGTGGTGGGCGTGGCGCATGAGCTCGCCATTCACCTCACGCAAATCTGGTTTCTGCGCAGGCGCGGTGCTCATATCTGGCGGGCATTGCGCGTGCGCAATGCCCACTAGATGCCTGTCGGTCGGTGGGCTAAGTTGCACAAACAGCAGGCAGATTCAGAGTGTAGAGTCAAATTCATCCGCTCCTATTGCCGCATGCCTTTTCGAGTCGGCATACACACGGCTGCCACTTTGAAGCACGGGGTTCAAACCCCTCCGGTGTAGATGAGAGGTTTACTTTTTTATCTACTCTTCCGGAACGTTTCTAGTATACTCCTTAGATATTATTTCGCGTGTTTGCCCAAAATTTTCACTACAATGCAACATTTCGATATTTATATTGAAAAAAGCCGTGGCTGAAACATTAATTGTTCACGCTTTCCTCGCCATTACAGCATGCACAGATCTACAAATATTCCATTTGCAGGCACAAGATAACCTCGTGAAGCGTTGTTTTAGATATTACCTTTCTTCTAGCCACTTATTTGCGACAATATTTACACATTTTATAGAAAGTATTGAATGGCGACCATCGCCGTGTGCCTTGCTCTTAAGTATGTGCTGACAGCGAACGCTCGACGGATTCATTTCACGCCGTCAAAACCACTGTTCGTGGCAGATGACAAGTATGTCACACAGCAGAAGCTGGTCAATGTCCACCGAAGGGAGGATGTGCGGAAGCGCATGCACTTGGGCTAGTTGGTGATCCATGTTTGTGAGGGTAAAATCACTAAAAACAACGGACAAGTAAAAGAAACGTACAACACAGAGCGCTTAAAGTAAAAGAAACGTACAACACAGAGCGCTCTCCTCCAGCGTTCTGTGGAGGACGTGCGACCGGCTAACAGCGATAAATTTAATTATTTCACTTAAACCCGGCACCTGTATAGCAGAAATTCCACTTTTTCCTAAACTTTTTCTTCAACCTATTCTCCTTCTTACACGCACGTTTCTAATTCGTTTGTTTCCACTCTTTTTTCAGTGCCGGCCGAGTCATTCGCCTTCAACTACAGCTTCCCCCAAGAAAGCAGCCGCGCAATCAGCGTCATGTGCACGGGCCGAGGGCTGTTTCCACGGCCTGAACTCAAGTTGTACTTAATACGGGCGGGCCAACGAAAGCCCGTGGTTGTGCGGACGTTCGCCTCGATGTCCTCTCGGAGCCTTTTCGACGTTGTGCTTCACGCCAAGATGGCCCAGAACACGTTGCCGTCCGTGGCGGACATGTTGGAGTGCGTGCTCGAAATCCCGTCCAGCAATTACGTGATCACGAGGCGGTTGAGTTTCTCTCCCCGTAAGTAGCCACACGCCACCAGAATCCACATCTTCTTTTGATTTTTACTTTGTTTGTTATGAGTTATATTCATTCCGTTTTATTTTATTTGAGGTCATTACGCGCGTATTGTTAACCTTATTTTGTATTTCGCGTCAAAAACATTTAGTTCACGCTAAGGATTCATCTCCATTAGTCTATTGGACGACGTATTGAGCACAAGAGCGGAAATTAATTAAAGTTGTTATGAAATGACTGCCTCGCGGCTGATCCGGGTCTTCAGAGTGTTAACCACAACAATGTCTAAGGGACTTTTTTTTTATAATTAAAAAAGCCTGTTTCTTGTCATCTAAACTGTTCATGATGTCCGGAAAAGTTTTCTGAGAAACCGTTTATAAGTGAACATAGTTCGAGGTTTTAGTTCATCAAGTTTACGTGTCTCCCGTTCGAATGCCTTATTATCTGAGCTATTGCAAAAGGGTCTCACAAGAGCGTATAGGAAGATTTATTTATTTCTTTATTTATTATTTATTTCAAATACCCTCAAGTTCAATACATTGAAGAGGAGAGTGAGCTATAAAATATTTACAATGTGAAAATATTAATAAGGAGATCCTTAAAGAGGACAAGATCAGTAATGTTGGCAGTCGAGGCGAGAAGGTGGTTCCAATCCAAGGACGATGAAAGAATATTGAAATAATTATGTTTTGAAATTTGAGATGTCAACCTTATGACTATGATCAATGTGAGCGGAGATGTAGGTTGGTGAGTTAATTAGTTTTACGGAGGACAGCATTTTGGTGGAATATTTTCTCAAAAAGACACAAAGTATTTTACGACTATTTATTTATTTACCTATCTATTTATTCTGAATAATGTGCCCACAAACAGCTGGAGGCCTTATCAGTGCGCTCATATTACAAACAATAAAATAACAGATACAGACGGACAAACAAGCAAGACGTGATTTAGAAAAGATAAAAAGAAATAAATAAAACTATGGAGAACAATGGAGAACAACGGAACACAGATGTTTGTCAGGCGGCCAACTATGCTCTTCTAAACTTTAAAAGCGGTGAAAACAATTCTAAAAAACTGCTATTGCGATTATAAAGGAGCTGAAGGCGTGTCATCCGGGACTGGACACAAACTTTCTGTGGTTAGAAAAGAAATGAAAATCTGGTACGCTTTTGAGGAACACTGAAAGAAATTGCACTTAAAAACAAAGGTGTATCAATTGTATCGTTCACTATCTTATACTCTTATAATCTTCTTTTGTGCAAGGGTACCAGGTCAATTAGATTAAATAAGTATTCATAAACAAAATAAGTGCGCCTCCCAACCCATCTATCGTAAACAATACGGACGAGGCGACGCTGTACTTTTTAAAAAAAACATGATTGAGTTTATCCCATGGTGTTCCAAACGAGTGAGAAAAAATCGAGTTTAAACAAAGGAAGGGCGCGAAATAGATGAATCTTGCTAGCGTAAGGATGAAAATTCCGTGTCATTCGGGAAATAACGCCCAGCACCTGATAAGAATCATTCACAACTTTCGAAACATGCTCAGTAAACGAAAGGCGGGAATCCAACGGCACTCCCAGGTCACAAATAGTATCGGACCTCGCGACATATGAACCTGACATGGTATACTGATACTCAATGCAGCTTGGAAAAGGAAACAACCTTGGTCTTACTGGAGTTAAGTAGTAAATTATTTTTAAGCACCAGTTTAGAACTAACTGAACGTCGTCCTGCATCATTAGGCAGTCAGTAGTGGAATGAATTTCACGATAAATCTTAACATTGTCTGCAAATTGCAGCACCTTTGAATGCTGCACACTGTCTACAAATCATTGAAAAAATGTTGAATAACAACGGCCCCAGATTAGACCCTTGAGGCACTCCAGTATTTAAAACATATAAAACAGAAAAACACCCTTCATACAGCACTCTGTTAGGTCTTCCGTTAAGATAACTAGACAACCAACTGCAAAACAAGCTAGTCATGCCCAATGCTGAACATTTGGCGAGTAAAAACCTATATTCTACGAGATCAAAAGCTTTAGAGCAATCGAAATAAATAACATTTACTTGTCCGCGGGATGTGACCTTAATTAGAGTGTGTGTCAAAAATGATACAAGGTTGGTTTCCACTGAACGCCCTTGACAAAAACTATGTTGGTTTAGAAAAATAGATTATATAAAATGAAAATTAATATCCTTATACATTGCCTTTTCAAATACCTTCGAAAAAAAAAACAAAGAAAAGAAATCGGTCTATAGTTATTAACGCAGTCAGTGCGACCTGATTTATGTATCGGTACAACCACTGCATTCTTCCATCTTTGAGGAAATACATTGGCCTCTAAGGACATATTAAAACATTTAGCAACACAGGGCAAAAATATCTCGCAAGCCTTTACAATAAAAGCAAGAATTCTGTCCTCACTGAATGACTTTTTTGGAGCGAGCTCATTTACTGCGGAAAGCACATACTCAAGCGTAAGTTTCGGAACTGCTAAGCTGCGGATAGATTCAAGAGGAGCATCGGTCATAACAGTGCACAGACTAATCAAGCTACCCACGGAAGAGAAGAACGTAGCAAAAAGATCACAGACATCGGACGGCTCAGATTTATATCCAAAGTTGTCTTGCAATGCAATAGTTTTCGATCGACTAGACATCCTGATACACCTCGCGTAATTCCACAGGGCATTAGGATCGCGTTGTAAATTGCGTTCAACTGAGTTTCGCCAGTTCTCCCGATCACACCTTATTAAATGTTTGGCCGGTGAATAATACTCTTTAAACAGACCCTGTCATTTCTTTATGCCGGTGTTCTTGTACTTCCTACGATACCTCGCTTTTTTTTACGCAACGCATCACGTAGCTCTCTGGAGAACCAAAAAGGATCGTTGCTAGTTCGACCACCTCTGCGTGGAATGAAATTATTCATGGCTGCAGTTACGATGTCCGTTAGACCTTTAACTGGTCTATCGATATTTGAAGAGATTGAAATAACGATTCAGCCTACGTTGCCAAGGTGATGTAAAGTCCAAGGTAATCCCCACGAGCGTAGTTATACCCGAAAGACTGAGTACTCGCCGACGACCGAGCAGGAAGTACGATAGAAAGGGTAAATGGTGGATGCCCCTCATCGATGGAGACAAGAGGACAGTCAGCAGCCTCGAAAGTGATTGCTGATATGTTAGTCATGCGCTAGACAAGCGTATTTCCAGCCCCGTTGGTTGTAGTATTTTAAGCTGATAAAGCCAACTGAAGTTCACAAACTTCATTGTTTCTTCGGCCTCAGCCCGAAGCTAGGGCCGAATTAGGGCAAAACGCTCGTGGTTCGTAACCCACGAGCGTTTTGCTATTATACACGAATGTCATCCATCACGAGTCCTCATTAGCTGTTGGTCACTCTGAATCCGGGTCACGCAAGGGCCCTCAAAAGGGCCTAAAGAGCTCCTTTCCGGCCACACGCTAGTCATTAAGTTTGATCAATCAATCAACAGTAGTGCTCACACGAAAAGAACTGTATGAATCGTGCTTACTGCGAAGTTTGGTACACTGAAATGTTCCAGTTTGGAGCACTGAAGACAAGAAGTTGTTCCCATCCTCGCACGCCGTGTCCTGGCTCAGCCTCGTCACGAAAAGTGCCCGCTTTACAAGTGGCCGCGGAATCGAGGAGAATGAAGCATTTGCTCACGCACCAACTTTCGCGAGCGGACGTCGCTTCTTTCTCGCCACGAGCTGAAATCAGTCGTCGGTCACTGAGTCTGTCAAAGAGGATGGATCCTCGACGATACTGCTCGCGTGCTCAGGGACAGAGTCGCATGCTTGAGATGGTGGAGCGATGTTCCGCCCAGCAGTGTTTTCCTTTGCACGACCAGCGTTGTTGTCGAGGTGGCGACTGTTTTCGGTAGTATTCTGACCACTTATTGTTTCGGCGTAACTCTTGTGGGCACGAGGCACTGCACGATCGGTAATCTTGGGAGCAGCACGGACGAGCTGCGTCCAAAGCGATTTGGATTGATGAAGCTCACTTCTTATTATGGCGTTTTCCTCGCGCATTATCTTGGCTGTGTCTACAAGCAAGTCCACATTGGCTGTGAAAGACAAGACGAGCATTTCGACGGAGCTGCTCTGTTCCGTTGATTTGTTGTTAGAACCCTTTTCCTCGCCGTCCTTCACAGAGTCTTTTTGGGGCGTGTCCGTCACGGCGACATTCAGCTTCGCTTCATCCGGGTCACGTCGCTTCGAACACGAGTTGCATTTGTAGGTACTCACGCCTTCGGCCATGAAAAGGTTGTAGTCGTCCCCACGAACGTTGATACATGTACAATGATATCGACGCAGGCATGCACAGCAGTTAAGATACTGTTGGTTCAAATAAAATGGATTAGAGCACAACGGGCAGACGTCCTTCTGGGCAGCCATCTGGGCACCTTTCTGAAAAATTAGTGATGGTAAACCTAACGTGTTTTCCATAGTAGTAACGCTGGCGGTGCGGTGACAGTTTGACAGAATAAACGGGATGAGAGATTTTGAGTTAATTCAGTATGATCCTTAGCGACCAGGGAGCAGTGTCCTATGCAGCCGCAGCATGATTCAATTTTGGACGAATTAGAGTTTTGCACATGGTTATTGACAGGGGTAAAGAAACAGACACTACAGGACGGCGCTGTCTTGTTATGGTCAGCATCGTCCTGTCGTGTGTTTATTTACCGTTGTCCATGTTTATTGCTGCTGTTCCTTGCCAAGACGGAGCGAGAAAGAAATTCCTTTTCAAGTACCCTAACCTGTGATTAGCACTGTTATCAACGTAATGGACATGTATCTTCCAAGAAAGGTTAGACGTTATGTGAACTCCAAGATATTTATAAAAAGACACTGCAGCGAGAGGTTTACTGCTAAGATGGTAGGTATGACACACATATTAAGAACGTTAGATTCCCATTGATTTGCATTTATCAGTGTTTAGTTCTATTAGCCACAATAGCGCTATCATATTAAGGTCAGA